AATCAACTGCTGCGAGGTGTCCGACGTTTTAAGCTAAAGGGGGAGCACAATTTCAAATGAAGCATCTGGGTTGTTTTCTAATTCCTTGAGATTTTTAACAAAAAAAAAGACACCTGAGAAGGCCTAATAATAGGCAGGCTTCGTCCTCCATAAAATATGCCAATTCAAAACAAATTAGGAGGAGGAGGAGTTAAGGGGGCAGGGGGACCCGGAAAAGTACATCCCCTTATGTCACGAAATGCAGTTTTAATTTTTATAATTGGGAAAAAATAAAGATCATGAAATTGAAAGGGTGGAGAAAGAGGGAAAGATTGATTATTGTTTTGCTATTACCCAATTGTACCAACTAGTCTCAGGCCTGAAGGTCAAGCAAATCATTATAGTTGACTGTGTAGAGTGAAAAACACTGCATTTCATGGGAAAAAAAGATAGCCACTCTATTTTCGCACACCACACACACACACATGCACCAAAAGCCAGGGAGAGGAGACTTGGTAGAGTAGTGAGAATGATGCGCCTTTACCACTAGAGCAGGGTCTGTGCCCACATGCATACGAAGCCGAACCGATGAAATAACTGCTAGTGAATCGATGAGAGACGTAACAAAGGGACTCAAGTCTTCAGCTTTCTTGGGCAATCGGACATTTAGTCAAGCACTGCATCATTCAATTAGAAAGCGACACTCAGAAAAGAACCTGATTAGAACCATCAAATGGCCATCTAAAAATAGGCTTTCCATTATTTGCTTACGCATGTCAAGTGCTTTCAATTACTGGGTCGACAATTTACCGACACACTGCCTCCTCTAGGCAAAGGGATGTAATGCAGATAGGCGATTTCGTGTTTTCTCCGGACAAAGGTGGGTAGTATTATTTTTTATTGGTGTTCCGTGACGCGGATTCTGCTAATTACCCATTTAGGAGGAGTATAGAGGGGGGGACATCGGATAATAGGCAGGGGAGGAAACAGAACAAAAGGGGGACCTGGAGATAGAAGGCAAGTGGACGCATTCCCCTTATCTCCATCTAATTAGCACACAGGTTCTCCGTACCCATGCATGCATGTACAACATGTGTACGGTAATAGGGCTACAAACTCTGTATTGATAATGTGTTGAACGACCATTATTCTTTTCCGTTATAAAATACCAATATGGAGAGAGCCATCACCACCGATGACACTGTAGCTCTTCTTTAACGTTGATATGGTTTTAGAGGAGTCCACTTTGTCCAAAAGTCGCTAAACAATCCAGGTTAATTAAATTCCAATGAGAGATGTTAGAAAGTGATCTATTACCTGGATTCATTTACCACAACTGGCAATCAGAGGTTGACTTAAACAGACTATTTGCTAAAAAGGGTAGACATCACTGAACGCTGTCAACGTTAGTTGTGA